CATTCCATGAAATGAAAAGAAAGAAAAATTTCCCTCATATCCCATGGAATGAGATGGGACTATTCCATTCCACACGGAGCCCTGTTGCCCATATGTTTCTTGATTGATATGAATGTGAGAATAACAAAAAAATATCAGTGATATTGTTTTTTGGTTTCTATTAGTCATACAACTATGGGGGAAATGAGAAGGAATTCGTATTTCTCAATCATTGAATATTCTTCTAAAATTTTAATAATAAAATTTCATAATACCTCGCATCCGAAGCAAAAAAATATTCAATACTACGATTATTTCCTGTTACTGCCAAATCAGCTGTTGTTTGATCAGTAATCATTAATGGAGGTGAAAATACACCACGTAAATCTAAATAATAGAAATTAAACGATTCAATACAAACAATTAAATAAAAAAATCACTCAAGCAAAAATTAATATATTAATCATGTATTTAAAAAACAAAATTCTGTCGAAACTTGTTCTCTTCTTTTTTACTTGTTCAAGCAGTTTCATATATCAGAATATCTTTGCTAAAGTAATAATTTTGTATAAATCTATGAAAAATTAACTGTTAGCAATATCTAATTTAATTTCATTTATAATCTTTTTTTTGATTTGTTTGACTGCATAAAAACAAAAACCTACTATCTGTTGCTTCGGAATCCACTGAAATACAAACAATTAAGAAGCATATGAAATAGATTATGAAAAGCAACACAAAATAAAGAAAGTTAGAAGTTTTAATAATAATAATAGTAACCATATAAATAGATTATTAAACGAAGAAACGAAAAGCAAGAAAATGACTCAGAATAAATTACCTTTTGTCATTCGAGGATTTGTTGAAATATCTAAGGTAATTTCATTTTATTCTTATTTTTATTCATAAATAAACTTAGCTTTCCATATAGATAAAACTATTAAGATTAATATTTACCTTTGCTAAACATAACTGGAATATGATTAGCACCTAATTGATCAGCACATTTAACACCAATAACCATTGGACTTCCACGACTAAAAGAAGAATTTTCATTCAAATATCCTTTTTTTAAATAAAGTGTCGACAATTCGAAACTTGAGCAAATTTCTCTTTGTCACAGTTTGATCGAACTGGTCGAGTTACCTATAGAAATGTTATTTTTGACATATTCAGACGATGTTTTTATAGTGAAACTTAGGGAAATCAGGTTAACAAAAAAAATAAAAATAAAAGTAGTCTATAAAAATTGAAATACATTAAAAGTATCAAATTTCTCTAGACTCAATATTTATCCAAATATTTCTTTTAATTTTACTCGTCATACACTAAAGAAAAAAATCTAGCATGCGTTTTGAAACATATTGTTTGATTGTTGAAAGAATCGATATTTTCGACATGATTCCAAAAAAAAAAGATATAAATACAGATTTGTACTCTAACGAGGAAAGTCTCCAACTGATTAATTGCTTTTGAATCTAGACTATATGCATCATGTAGATCCTAATGAACTGTGAATACTCTGAGAAAAGCTCGAACCCTTAGCCTATTACTCCGGAGATATTGAATTTTTACGATACTTTTTAAGTCAATGTCGTGGTCCTCTTCCGAAACACTAGGAATAGTCATTTTTGAATTTCGATTTGAAAGCTTCTATAGAGATAAGCCTTGTTGAGAATAGTTTATTGTGAAAGTTTCAGATCATTTCATTTTTCCTATTCTAAGATATATCACCTATATATATATATATATATATATATTGGCAGATTTGATGTTCTTATTTCAGGAGAGGAGTAAATCAAGAGATCTGAAAGTTTCATAATAAACTATTCTTTTTAAGATCTATCTCTTTGAAAAATTTCAAATCGAAATTAAAAAGCAAACATTTATCCTTGTGTTCTTAAGAGAAACCATGACATTGATTTACAAAATTACTATAAAAATACAGCATCTCAGTAGCAGTCAGTGAAGAGTTTGAACTGTTTTTAGAATGTTCATTGTTCACTAGAGTTTATACGATGCGCATAGTCCAGATTCTAAAGCAATGAATCAGTAGAGAGCATTCCTTTGTAAGGTTTTAATCATCAGAAATTCAGTTTAGAAAGAAACGAATATTATATTCAGAATCAACATAAAAATCTGCATCGCATACTGTACACAATATTCAAAATAAATTTTCGTCAAACTTCGACTTAAGAAGAAGCACTGATCAGATTGTTTGAAAATCACATTGAGAGGATGTAAGGGTGGAAATTTGACGAAAGCTAGTTTTGAGTATTGAACGCACTATTCAATGCAGATTTTTGTGCTGACTCTAAGTATGATATTCATTTCTTTCGGAATTGAATTTCTGATGGTCAAAATCTTAGAATAAAACTCATATTTATGGCTTCTTTTACTATTATATTGAAAAAAATCGACTTTCTCAATCATATTTTTCTCCTAAGTATGTGACGAGTAACGTTAAAAAGACAAACACTTAAATAAATATTTAAACTACCGAGATTTGATGCTTTTGAAGTATTTCTATTTTTATTGACTTTTCTAAGTTTTTTTAAACCTAATTTTTCTAAGTTTCACTATAAAAACATCCTGTGAATATGTCAAAAACAACGCTTCTATAGGTAACTCGACGAGCTCATTGCAACCATAACAAAAGAAAACAATATAGCTCAAATTTCAAATTACCAACACACCGTACAAAACTTACCGAGTAGCACATAATTCACCAGGATAATGTATACTTTTAAATAATAATGCAAAAGCACCTTCCTATAAAAATTTTATCAAGATTTAATTATTTAAAATAATATTCATTACCAATTGTGAACAAGCCATTTCAATAAGTTTTTGAAAAGTAATATGTTCATTTTTATGTTTATCATAAAGATATTTAACTAATTTAATAACAACTTCTGTATCAGTTTCAGATTCAAATTTATAACCTTTATTTGTCTAAAATTTACAAAAATAAATTTCAATAAATATGTAATTTAAAAAAAAAAAAAGAAATATTTACAAGATATTGTTTAATATCTTTATAATTTGTTATAATTCCATTATGAACACAAACAAATTGATTTTGCTCATCTGAACGTTGTGGATGTGAATTAACTGCATTTGGTTCACCATGTGTTGCCCAACGTGTATGTGCTATACCAACATGTACGGAATATTCACCATTCCAATCAACATTTTCTAATGCTATATTAATTGAATAAAGTTTTTAATAAATATATTATTTTTATATTTAAAATAAAATCAAAATCAAAAGAAACAAAATCGCTTACATTTAACAGCATGTTCAAGTTCTTCAACTTTTCCTTTTTGTCTTACAACCATACAAGTTCGTTCATCACTATTATTTGAATTAATACTATCACCATCAAATGCAATACCTGACGAATCATAACCACGATATTCCAAACGATGAAGACCATTAATAAGTATATCAGCAATAAATCTTCGATCACGTTTAACCAAATAATTCAAATAACCAAATATACCTGTTTAGTAATTAGATAATCAAAGAAAAAACATACTCAAGGTAACAAAAAAAAACACGAAACACCCTACCACACATTGTTGTTTACTTGATTGGATTTTTTTCTGATAGAAAAAAAAGAAATGATTGATTAAAAATCTTAAAACATAAAAAAAAGAAGCACATATATATAGTCAGTGAACGCAAAACAACAATATGATGAAATGTGCTGTTGTATTAGAGTATTCAACGTGGCATAAATGCATAGGACAGCGAACAAAAGCAAGGATTTGTCATTCTCTTCGCGTACACACTAACGACGACTCTGATCATAAAGAAAAAAAAAGAGAAAAAAAAAAAGAAATAGAAACTGAAGAAAAACATTCATGACAACCTATAAGTGCATAAGCAGACAAATAAGAGTCCCGTTAACTAAGAAACGTATACCGCATATCAAGGTGTAAACTTGACCCAATCAATCATGCGGAAAAGACAATGTGAGAGTGCTGTAAATAAGAGCGAAATAAGGAGATAGATATATATTTCATCATGAATATAATTCAAAATAAAATATTAAGTGGGTGTGTGACCGATTACAACAGACAAATAGCAAACAAAATTATCTAATCTTATGGTCTATCTTGTTCAAACTTATACATATGTAAGTTGTATGAGATATGCAATAGCAAAAATAGATTAAAATTCTGTTGATTTTTCTTATATAAGAAACTGTTGATTGAAATTATACAATAAATCCATAATTGACAAAGGATATTCTAAAATTTGTGATTATTCATACATAAATTTATTTTGTTGTTCTACTTGAATGACAGAGAATGTTATATCATTAATAAAAATGATTATATTCAAATATGAACTATTCTACTATTTATGAATTTTTACACATTGAAAATTTCAATATGGGTTATGAGTACAAAAGAAATGTATAAATCGTCCAATTTTGAGCATCAATAGTCTGAATTCTTAGACATATTGTTTTTCGATCTGTTCATTAATATATTTAGATAAAGATGATAAACATAAACAATTCTATTATTCAAATGATAATTTGATATATTTTTTTCAAGCTATTATTCTCCATTCTATAAGATATAAAAATGACAATATAACAATGATTCGTAGTCTTACCACAGAATCGAAAAAAAAAACGCTGACATCTTAAAGAACTCGAGCTATTCTTTATTTTCTTTTAATTATAAAACAATCGAAGTCATATCTTTCTTAGCATTATCAGCAATATATCAACGTCTAGAGAATGACTCATCATAATATGCATTGATAATAATCAATGATTTAAATCAGATGGACATGAGAAAACGACAATTGGTTGAGTACCTGTAAAAACTGCGGACATCACCAAAGCTACAATATAAGATCGAATTCGAATCGAATATTTTACGGACATCCGTAGTGAATTTGATTTTTACTTATACAAAAGATGTTTTACAATTAAAAGAAGAAAAACATGGGTATCCGTAGAATATTTGTTTCACGTTCTATTTTATTTTGCAGTTTTGTTTATATCCGTAGTTTTTACAGATAATCCAATTAGTCGCATGTTTGATAGAAACGTGATTCGGTTTTATTTTTGCACAAAAGCTCAATTTACAGACATGTAACTCGATCACACATAGTACAATGCGAGGACGAGAGTGACATGTGAAAAAAAGGAAGATATGCCACATGCAATGGATAAGTAGATTATCTCGTCGGTAAACTATAATTAAATACTGACGTTCAACTTCTAGATTTATTGAAATGTTATAAAAAGATGAAAAATATATATTCATTATGAAATAGGAAAAATTCCAGCAGACAGATGGGAAAAATCCAATGTGATATCCAGATTTTCTCTTCCGAAAAGGATGTTTTAAAACTTTGAGAAGACGAACATCTATTTTTGGGAACATAATACATGGTACAATAGCCACAAATCTTTGGATGATCAACTCGATTTTCAAAGAGGTACTGCCCGTACGCTGGAAAAATAATATGGATTATGAAAAATTCTTAAAGCAACTACTGCTTTCTCTCGTGTAATGTGTCATGCAGTACAGCGACTAATAGTCGTAGCGTTCGATTGTCGCTGCAACAAGCAATTGACATCATCCAATTGTCGTACATACATTTTTTTCAATTATAGACGATCTGAGAAAACTTATAGTTTATAATCAATCTGAAGAATTGCTCTAATTATCGAACATGTTTTCTAAACATTACCTGTTCTTATAATCAATATTGGCTAAAATACAAACCCGAAAAATATTTTTTTAATAATTGATGAAAAGAATTAGTGTATATTATTTGATATTTTTTTTATTCTTTAACGGTCTAAAAACAAGAATTATAATAAATCTTTTTTTCTTTTCATGTTTCCTTGTTCAGACAGAGAACGATCGATCTTAGATTTTGTTTTAAAACTAGTTGTTAAATATGTCTTAAACAGATGTTTGTATTGGTGGTTCATAGCCATCAGCTCGTTCGACTCGTTGGCCTTTGTCATCAACAGTCACACTACCATAACTTTCACCGTGCATTTCCATAAGACGAGCAACTGAAAAGAAAAAAGAAACAAAAAAAAATTAATCAACAAGAAACAACAAAAGAATTTTTTTACCATCAAATTTTGGTTTTTTGAGTACTTTTACTTTTCGAATATTAACATTTTGTAGTGGATAAATACTACGACAAGCTTTTTCTATTTCAGCACCAATACTATTTGGAATACTGAAAAAAAACAAAAAAGAAAATTTTTTTTTTTGCCTTATTAAAATCAAACAATCAATCTTTAATGACATACAGTTTATTAACAACTTCTTTAAGTTCACTGCCAGCAATATCTCGTGTCATAATTTCAACCATTTTCTTACGAATACCTTTAATCTAAATAAAAATCATTATCAAAAATTCGAATTCTATATGTATGACACAAAGATGGAATCGATTCGGATTTTTTTCAAAATTTAAACCGGACCAAAATCGAAGTTGATTCCGGATACGACGAACCGAACTAATCGGTTCAGTTTAGTGTCTTGCAACTGGGTCGGGTTCCCGGCATCCGGCACTACATGAGATCTCCACGTTTCAAAATATCTTAACTTTTTGCAAGCCGTTATATATATAAAAGCATAAAAATGAAAACCGGTTCGATTATGATCGAGTGATTCATTGTAATTGAGAACAGGTTACAGAGGTGGAATCCGATATTGTTTTACTAAGAGAGTTCGTTGTTTTTTTTGTAAAAGTTTGTCTACAGATGATGAGGAGAGGAAAATGAACTATCAAAAAGATGAACATATATTATCGTCATGGGCAAAGCATTCATGTATGTATTCCCACTTATGATGTATAATACCAATACTGCGTTCCATTTCAGTGTCATTAGCAACAATCAAACGTATACGTAGCAAAATTGATCGAGTTTCAGAAGCAGAAAAACATTAAGTGAATTTTGAATCACTTGACTTTTTGTAGAATTTGAGATGATCTCTTTTTTTTGCTGCTGTTTATGAAAGAAACTAAACAGTATATTTTTTCATATAAAATAAAAGTTTTAAAATTGTATCAGGGCTCCGTATAGGGTGGGACTGTCCCATCCCACACGGAGCTCTGGGCTGTATTATGACTGTGAAAATATCTGTTGGATGTCGATTAGCCTCAGTCTAGATTCGGGTGTGAAAAGTCGTAACCATGAAGGACACTAGTTCGATTCGTCTTGCTAATCAAATTAATCCCATCTCTGATATAAAACTAACTTGTGTATGTTGTGCATAAGATGTTTTTCTGATTTGACCACGCATTCTCATGGTAAAGGCAATACAAAATACACGTAAAAGATATCCATCAGATGTACGAATATCAGCTTGTGCTTCGATTAATGTCTATTAAATAATATAAAGAATGTCATTTTTCTTTTACAAAGTAAAATCTTTTTTTTTGTTCTTTTTCTGAATTATACCTGCCATTTTTTAACAAGCATACGAAGACGATCTGTTGTTATATCCATACCATGAAAATTTGTTAAACAATGACGACCTTGTACATCTTCACAGATAAGTTTAAATTTTCGATAACTATCTTCATCGTCAAGTTTAATTAAATCACCAAGTGATGCTTCAAATACACGACCTTTTAAAGCATCCGAAGCGATTTCTATAAAAATAAAATAAAATAAAAATTTATTTTTAGCAAATCAATTTTTTAATTAATTACTTGTGCCAGTTGTTCGTGTTACAAGTGTACGACCAATCGTACGTGTATCGAAATTAGCTGGTACTTTGACATCATACCAATCTTTTTTTGAAAATGGATCAGCACTATAATAATATATAAAATAGAATAAAAATTTATTAAAGAAAACTATTTTATATTTTACATACACTTTCTTCTTGCCACCCTTCTTGGTACCTTTAGTTAAACGTTTGTTCTTGCCGATGGCCATTTGTTATGATCAATCTACAAGAAAAAAATATTAATGAAATTCTTTTTTTCTTTGGTTGATTATCAATCTTGTCCTAAAAAAAATTTTTTTTATAGAATTTAAGATACTTCTAAAAATCAGCGACATCACAGTATTCACACTTTTTAATATGTCCTGCTAATTAGTGTATAGAATGTCATCGATTTGGAGAAGAACCTTTTTTATCATTATCAGACTTGTTTGAAAAAAAGAAAACATTTCGTAAGGTAATTTTATCCATAAAATATATTATGGATAAGACCATATTGACAGAACTATGACCTCCTAAAAAAGAAGTCGTAGTTGATCATTAATGCAGATGATGTGTTTCCAAATTCTGATTGGTTTACGTTTCATAACCGTACACGCAGCACAGCATATTCTCTCTCGTTTTTTTTTATTATTTTTACTTAATAATCAGTCATTTGTTTTTCTTTATTTTGTCTCAAGAGATAATCAAGTTTTGTTTTGTGTTTGTTTTTTTTCAGATATAAACATGGGAAATCAATCATTTCTATTTATTATTGTCTTTATTCTTATTCAATTAATTTTACCAACACATTTACTTTATTTTCATATACGTGAAACTGATCGTAAATGTTTTATTGAAGAAATACCA